GAAGTTGTACCTGTATTTGTGCTCTGTTTCCTGCTGCGATGTTAGAAATTGTCCAGCAGGCTTCTTTCCTAATTGACTCCTTAGGACTGCTTAGTAAGTGAAGGAGACAAGGCAGTGCTGAACAGTTCAAAATCACCTTAAGGGAAGGAAAGCACAAGTGAGGTCACTGGTATCAGGTACAGAGCCAAGTTTTCTACCTTCTTTCAATTTTCATGCAGTTGATATGGGGGCTGCATTTCTCTCCCTGACCCTTTCAGGAAGAGGGGAGGAGAGATACTGCTATTACATAGCTGTTAAAAAGAGGTAGAAAGTACTTTGCAAGATATATAGGAGATGGGACAATCAGCCTTTCTGAAGCTCCCTTTAAAAAACACAAAAACAAAACACCCCCAGCACATGCATTTAAAGTAACAGAAAGAAAAGCAGATGTATGTTCCTCCAATGCACTTGGCTTCTCAAAGCTTGCTGCAGCAGTCTGACCAAACCATGCTGAGGAACAAACATACTGTTGCCAAAGTGCTCACACTGAAAGAGATCACGCACTGAGAGTAAGAGATATACTCTGACAAGTATAAATGTCATTGGTATCGAGAGCAGGACTCTTCTTTAGCTGCATCTGTGAAGCTGCCACATGCCCTCACCTGGGTCTGGATGTCATCCCCGGTCACAATGTTGCCGACGGCTCGCAGAGCTGGGGAGGCCACTTTGTAGTCATTGTGCCTGCAGAAGGGATGATGCAGGGATAAAAACAAATCTATCATGTGCGCACGAACCTAAGAAATTCTCTCCCCAGTTTCTCACCTGCATAATTTAAGAGTTCCACCCCCTAGCACAGAGGGGATGCACTACACACAAAAGTTTTCCAGACTACCACAGGATAAGCAGAGACTGAATTTAAACTTGTGTTAGGATCAGCACAATACTCTGTTTTCACAGAGTAGTCTAAGTGTCAGTATGGGCTTCTGTTATTAAGTTCTTCTCCATGTACAGCATTAACTGGTATTTCAGTGCTAAAATGCAGAGTTTCTCTCAGAAAAGCTAAGCTAAAAAAATAATAATCAGACCCTAACATTAACTTCTTCAGGCTTAGCTAAGGTATCTGAGCAATCCTAGCTATGCCTGATTTCTGTGCCCACCAGAAATGGCAATTGCACCATGGCAAGTTTTGGAATGAACACGCTCAGCCACGTGCTACCCGTGCTCACTGCTTCAGCCCCGAGAGACAGGATACTTACATTAACAGCTCCACCAGTCGTCGACACACACCAGAGTCAATAACTGCTTGAATTTTCTCATTTGGGCCATCTGACAAATAGGAAAGAGCCCAGCATGCATCTGCCAGCAAGTCAGAGTCACTGTTGAATAATAATCGGGACAACACTGGCAGGCAGGGAGATACCTACAACAACAGCAGCCACCCGGGAAGATTAGTCACGTTCTGTCAAGGACCACTGCATTTGTACGTAAACATCATGTGGCTCTGCGGACTGCTAAGATAAGTGTTGAATGTCCACAGTTTCCTTCCCCAAAGTCAGCAGTTTCCCAGCTGGTTTGCATGGCTCAGAATCTAAGATTGCCTCAACAGCTTTATTGCTAAACTAAAATTATACCCCTTCTTCTTGGGCCCAGTCTAGACTTCCGAGACAAGTGCTACTCCCTAAATAGTTCAGTACACAGAGCTGCAACCATCAGGAGTTGCACCTCTGATTACTCAGCTTATTTGCAAGTGTCTTTATTTACAATCAATTCCAATTTCAAACCTTACTGCAGGCTCTCCAGCTTTGACAAGGGAACTTTCTAGTGTAAAAACATCTTAAGGCATTTTAGTTCTATCAGAATAGAATGGTACAGATCTGAATGGCCAGGAGAGCCCTTTAGCTTTCCCTTTCCTGCTGTGGCACTGTCACTATCACAGTGCCCAGAGAGCTATACTAGTTCTGACAGAGTCCCGTTTTGTAGCATTTAGATGTCTCAGAATTAGGTATTAACTATAACTTGAAATGAAGTCTGACTTCCAGAGTCCATCACAAAAGGGCTCAGAGAGCCCAGGGCACATGCTCCTTGCACAGAAGTTAGTGTTCATCCCTTGCTTGAAGGGCCTGGACTTCCAGCTAAGTGATGTTAGAAGGTTGGCAAAGAGCTAAATGGGCATTCAAATGCCTGCTAAACAGAAAGATCTCAATCTTAGCAGGAAGAAACTCACCCTAGTGCTTCCTGAAATGGCTTAAGGCCA